CAGCCAATGAAGTAGTTGCCTTCTGGTTTAGATTCCTGGCTATGCCTCTTTGGAGATAGTTAAATGCGGATTATGACTTTTCTGCCATGGACTCATAGGACAGGATTTCTACTGATACAAGCGTTGTATTGAACATGTTTTTGAAAGATTGACTTTATTTTTTGTGAAGATAATTTATGAGAATGTTTTATAAGCAGATCAGTGTTGTTGAAAAAGTTGGTCTGACGTCCTGAAATAAATGCGTGTAGATATTAAAAGATGTGTCCCAAAGCAAAGTATTTTTTAATAGGGTGCTGTTACTGGTGTAGTTGTCCCTCTGAGCTCTCCGAGCAACACACCCATTTAACATGTCACGGTGCACAGCGCGCGTGTGTTATTTAGGAGACGACGCGATTTCAGAAGGTGTGGCTTCATTTATATTGTGCGTACCCTGTGTTACACCTCTGGCAGCAAGCAACTCCTAATCCACATGTCAGCTGTAGAAGGCAGAAGTTTGTCCCCCATGCAAATCACTGCAGGTTCAAGGGCAGAGAGCCTGCCCTTGTGCTTGACTGCAGGAAACGTTACAGGGTCCGGCGACTCTGGCTCTTGCAGTCCTCTCCCACTGCCCGCAGGGAGTGCCACGCATCAGCCCTTTCGCTTTCTGATGGAAGGCAGGGGCAAATCGACGTGTGCCTGTGTCAAAGTTAACGGCTTGCCTCGCCATGGCTTCTCTTCCTTTGTGCTGCTGATCTTGCCAAACCGGGTAGCAAGAGGTGCTTGAAGAATTACTGAGTATTTATTGTGTAATTTTAGGTGCTTATGAAGCCTTCACTGCTATTTTAAAGCAAAATTTTGGGGATCTGTAGCATAGCAATAGGTGTATAACTCCAGCTTTCTGAACATGCCGAAAGCAAGTTATCCTTGCAATAGTTCAATTATCAATGGTGTAGATAGTAGCAATCAACACCTTGAAGCTGCAAGTTCTGATTATTTGGAAGGGAGCATCTCTGCTTTGAATGCAAAGCATTGCAGAGTTTGTGATTCACTGTAAATTTCGCCAACCCTCCTACTTAGGAACCACACGACATCTTAACTCTTCTCAAACTATGGCTTAAATATTGCTTCAATAACTGTTTTTCACCTCTAGTTATTTAAAATCATCCAACTTCAAGCAGATTTATGAATGCTATTTTAATATCAAGATACTCTAAGATGTCTTACAGAATTTCTTGTGAATGTTCTAATACATTGGTAATAAATCATTGTGGCCCAACAAGCTAAGGTAAGCTGACCGCTGAACAGTTTAGTTACTGTCTCGTGCTTATTCTTTGTGCGTCTGCTTAATGATTCTCAGAAAAAAAAAGCTTGAGTATAAGCATTAAAGTGGGTGAAAACTTTCCACATTTTGTGCCTCAAACCGGTAATGCATTATCACACGTTTACTTGTGGATTGGTCTCAGAAACAGGCTTTGAGCAATGTAACTTGTTTCTCAATGTCTGCCTTGCAAATGAGACCTGTCACTATGCTGTGGTAACTTCACAAATAACACACCTAGTGTACCAATTGGTTTCAAAAAAGTAATTTATAAAAGATGGACCTTTCTCTTCTATTTAAACATCTGTTTGTCCTTGAGTTATGTTCTAAGAATAATTCTGTATATATTTTGCAATGTGTTTTGTGTTTGATTGTACATTTTGCACTGATTTGAAATTCTGTATTCTAAGTATTATTTACAAATTCCAGAGATCTGTAACTAGAATTTGTCTGTGAAAAATACATCTCTTCTACCCTGGATCTTTGTGGAGTAGTCATGCTTTAAAAATAGTGAAATACCCTTCTGCAGAGGCAAGCATACCTTGTTTCAGCTGGGCACTACTTTTATAGGTCTTCTGTAGCCTTGCTGTTTGAGATTGGGTCATGCTCTGTGAGAGGGTAGCTGTGTTGTAGCACTGTTATTTCATAGGTTTTTGTTTCTAAGATGACACCTACACTGTAAGTTTGACCCCTGCAACATTCAATCAATTCTAGAACCCTTATTTTTACTGTAACTGGTAAAATCTTTCTGTGATAGCACCATAGTGTGTTAAGCAATTTTGTTTGGTTGATTACTTTAATGATGATCCAGATTTTCCAATTGTTGCCCTATTTGCACGCCTTTAGAAACACACAACCTGGTGTTTTTAGGCTGTGGGGAAGAGGCCCATGCAGCCCCATCATGCTTGGCTCGGGTAAGCAGTGGTGGACCTAGCCTGCACAAGCCAAGGGCCAGACCCCATGGACCTTGGCTCAGAGGGAGTCAGCCACGGCAAGAAGAAAGGCTGTCTAAGGAGCAGAGCCCAGATGGAAGCTCTGCCCCACTGTGAGCAGGCAGCCCACCCCTCCCTGCAGGTCAAGAGCCCTCAGCTTGACAGGGCTCCATCGGCTCGACACCTCCACTTAGGATGTCCCTGCTGCAGTAACCCTTCCTCTGGCATGGAGCAGTTGTTCCTCCCCGCTCTGTTCAACAACTGATTGCAGAACAGGGGAGGGCTTGGTTTTGCCCTAGCATCTCGGGGTAAACCTTACTGTTCCTTGCTGGGCTGCAGATCAACAGGCTCTGAAGCAGCTACAGCCACATTTAAAAAACATTAAAAAAACTCATTTCAGGAGTACTGTTCTGGGAAGAGAGGGGAATCAAGCATAAAGGCACATCTTGTGCCCTACCCATGTGCAGGGAGGCCTTGAAACCTCTATCCAAGCTTAAAC